GCTGTTTATATTCATATACCCCAAAGGATAGGATCCTGAACAATAAAACCAGGATTTAATTCCTCAAAATGCAGATATTCTTCCTTGGAGGAATTGAAAGGAGATGATTCTCAGGTTTTAAGAATATTGCTGTTAGGAACAATTTATTTGCCCTGTCCGTTATGAGAATAATGTGTGACAAGTAAGTTTGGGGAAAATTGACCTGTCTCCAGACTGCAAAATTCATTGGAAAGCTACTTCACCAGTGACAAGGAGAGTAAGACTTGATGTTGAAGAAAAGCACCATTAACCTGGACACTGCCCAGGGCTTTTGTCACCAGGGAAAATAGGAGAGCTAATTATCAAGACATGGGGAAAAAAGACCCTGATCCACCAACTGCTTTTGAGAAACAGAATTGGAGAAATATAGAATGAAGTAGCTCAGTCTTAAGTGGATCTCCTGGGCAGTAGAGAAAGCAAAGGTAAGATAGATTGTCCTCCTCAGTGTCAATGCCCCCAGCCTTCCCTTCCTCCCCCATCCCTCATGGTTCTTAAGTCTTAGTAATCTGGTTGTTAAGACACATGGTCCATCTTGTGAGACAAGAGGAAGAGTTCAAGAACACCCAAGTTTAAGTCCTAGCTTTGCCAATTACAAAGTGTGTGTCCTAGGGAAAGTGACTTACCTTTAGAATCTTTGTTTCTATATCTGTTAAATGTGTATCATGCCTGCCTTGCCCACTTCTTATTGGGAAGAAGTAGTGTATGGAAAGTGTTTTGTAAATAGTGAAGCATCATGTAAATGCCAGTTATTAATTATTTAGCTGGCACCTTAAGGTTTATAAAATATTTTACTCACAATAACTCCCTAAGGAAGATAGAGGAAGTATTATTTCTGTTTTTTCAGGAACTGATTTCAGAAAGTACAGTGGCTTGCCTAGGGTCATATAACTATTAAGTTGCAGAGCTGGATTTCAAAACCCAGATATTTTCTAGTTCCAAATCTGGCATGCTTACATTGCTCATGCTGCATCTCTTATTATAATAGTAACTAATGTTGTTTTCTGGATCTCCTTATTTCATTCAGGCTGAAGTTCAGTGACTCTATCTTAATGCTGATCAGCATGGAAGCTTCAACTTGCTCCATTTTTCTGACTTAGGCCAGTTCATCCCTCCTTAGGCAGCCTAGTATTCCCCAATAACATTCTCCATATTAGCTCCAGACTTAGTGAGGACACCCAATTGGCTTTAGCGCTACTGGAGTTTAGAACTCTGAAACTTTGGTGATCCGTCAGCCTTAGCTTCCCCCAGTAGCAAAGATTGCAAGTGAGCAATACTACTCTAAGCAATAGTTGGAAGGGACCTTAGAGGCTGTCCCACTTGGGGCTAAAAATGATTTCCCTTGACAGCTATTGTCAGCCTTTGCTTGAAGTTCTCCAGTGAAGACAGGTTAACTAACTCTGAAGACAGCCTGTTCAACTCTTGAACAGATCTAAATGCTAAAAATTTATGCCTTATATCAAGGCTAAATTTACCTCTTTGCAATTTCTATCCATTGCCTTTACTTCTGCCTTCTGGGGCCAAGCAGAACAAGTGTAACTCCTCTCCTATGTGATAATCCTTCAGATAGGTGAAGGCAGTGAATATGTCTTCTCTTCTCCACACTAAACATCCTCAGTGTTCTCAACATAGCTATGTGGTGCAATGGATAGAATGCTGGGCCTGGAGTTAGCTAGCTCTTAGTTCAAATCCAGTCTCAGGCACTTACTAGCTGTGTGACCCTGGGCAAGTGATTTAACCTCTATTTGCCTCAGTTTCCTCATCTGTAAAATGGGGATAATAATTACATCTACTTCCAGGGCTATTGTGAGGATCAAATGAGATAATAATTATAAAGTGTTTGGCACATAGTAGACACCATACAAATGTTTATTATTATTATTAAATGGCATGATCTTGAAGCCCTTCAGCATCCTGGTGAAGCTTCATGTGTGGAACATAGCAGGCATTCAATAAATGCCTGTTAATTGATTGATCCTGGCTACTCTCCAACTTGTTGATGTACTTCCCAATCCTTTAGTGCCCTGAATGGAACATCATAATCCAGATGTGATCTGACCAGGTCAGATTTCAGAGGGACAATTATTTTCCTAATCCTAGACATTATGTTTCTGTTAATGTGGTTACAGTTTACATTAACTTTTTTGGCTACCATATCAAACTCTTGACTCATGTTGAGTTTGGTGTCCACTAAAGACAGCAGATCTTTTCCGCAAAATTTCTGTCTAATCATGTCTCCTCTGTTTTGTTTATGTGATGATGACTTTTTTACCCAAATGTAAGACTTTACATTGATCCCCATTTTGGTAAGAGCAGTATCTACTAAGTTCCTTAGCTTTTCCTCAGGCCCTGCCACATAAGCAGGGATAGCTTTTTCTAAGGCCCTGCTGCTTGGAAGAGTAAGCTAGTTTTTTCTCCAAATGTATTGAAACCATCCTTGAAAATTAGCTGGACCAGGGAGCTAAACCTTGAACTGCTGATGTAGGTTTTTAGTGTTCTGAGTCCAAAAGTGAGTGCACAAAAGGAGTCAGGAATTCTTCCCTGCACACTGGTGTACCACCATGGCAAATTCAGAGACAGGAAATCTATGCCCAACTGAACCAATTTTGTATTCTTGCTGAATATCCTTTCCATGTTAGTGCTAAGGAAACATTTTTGGTCAACTGTTAAATGTTCTAAAAATGTCTTATTCTGTTCTAGTCCTGAACCCAAACCACTAGACTGACCTAAGTGGGTCTAGCCAATGTCTTTTGATTCTAGGTTTGTTCAGGTTTATATCATAAGCAGATTTGAGATGCCTACATTTAAAAAGCATGGATCTCTGGGACATTGCACTAGAGAACATCTTTCAAGTTGATTTCAAACTATTAATAACTAGTCTTTGAATCTAACCATTTAATCATTTCATGACTATACGTTTATATAATTGTTATTTTCTAATCCATTACTTTACTTCCAGGTATAGCCACACTGAAAGTCACTAAAAGGTATGACCACTATCACTGGGTGGGGTGGTGAGGAGAGAGGGGAGAATGAGGGAACCAAGTTATGAGAATTCTGAAACCTTTTGTCTCCTCACAACAATATGTCTGTTTCAGAAGGTTTTGAGTTTCAGAGATTGCCATTGCCACCAAATTCATCACCTAGTGATGAATTTCTCTAAGTATATTAGGGAATGCTGTGGGTCTTTGACCATATTTTTTATTTGAATGCAATAAAATTTGTATGACTTTCGTGCAAGGGAATTAACATTCCCTTCTCTTGGACACTATTTCCTTATGCATAAAGTGGGAATCATAATGCTAGTAACACCTACTACACAAGGTTGTCCTGAAGAAAAAATTTTATAAGTCTGAAACTATTATATAAAGATACTTTCTTCTTGTTATTATCAATAGGATGTGGGAGTGAGTCTAGATAGTCCCTAAGGTTCCATCCAGTTTTAATATTTTTTAGCTGTATTTGAAAGTCTTTGAGACCCTAGACATTGTCTGTTTGGCAGCCATATAATGAAGGATCATAGGCTATCTAGATTCCCCCCTGGAAATGATTTCCTTTCCTCTGACCTAAATGTAGAAAATACTGGGCTATTGCACTCTGGAAATAGGTCTGGAAATAGATATAGAGAACCAAGTAAGGAAAATACCAAGAGCAAGAGACACCAGAACATTGACTAAAAGTCATTTAGCCCTGGTCAAAGGAGAAAGGTAAAAGGAGTGCTTAAAATAATAAATCCAAGGTTCTTGGGGCAAACCAGCATGCTAGCTCTGCTGTCATTAGTGTAGTCTTGGAAGCATCCCTTTATCCAAGGATAAGAAATGCTCAGAAGTGTACTCGCTGGGAATCGGAAAACCTGGTCCTAGCATCTAGATTTTTCATTGACTTGCTATACATTCTTGAGTAAGTTGTTCCATCTTTCTGGAACTCAGTTTCTTCATATATAAATAGACACAATAATCTTGGCCCTCTCCTTTATAGGCTTTTTGTGAAGCTAGTAGCAATGGGCTTTTTGCAAAGTTAGATTTATAGGAATAAGGGGAATTGCTCTTCCATTACTTCCATGTGAATAGTGTAAAAGAGTCAGAAGAATGGAATTCCAACCCCAGCTTAGTGACTTTGTGCAAGTCACTTAATCTCTCTGAGCCTTGGTTTCCTCATCTGTAAAGTCAGTCAATGACACTTATGGTTTGTTACCACTTTGTGTGGGAGTGTGTATGTGTGTACACATACGCACACACACATATTTTAACTTAGTTGTTTGTTTACGTGTTGTTTCCTCAATAGAAGGTAAGCTCTCTGAGGGCAGGAACTATTTCATTTTGTCTTTGTATCTGTAGTAGAGAAGCAGCATGTAATAGTCAATAGAGAGCCAGCCTCAACGTCAGGAAAAACAAGGTTTCAAGTCCTCTCTTTGACACATACTGACCGCGTGACCCTGGGAAATTTGTATAACCACTCAACTCCTCTAGGAGGCACTCTAAAAAAGTACACATTACAGAACAGTGGCTGACGTGCACTAGTAAAAGGAGTCTCTTCATTGAGAGTTCCTTTTCACCAATGAAGTCACAGTTCTGACTAACATAAAAAATAAAACAACCCCCCCCCAAAACAAACAGACAAACAAAAGCCTCCATCCCTTTGCTCAGCAATGGTGCTTAACAAATGTTTGTTGAGTTAAATTGAATATTACATGTAAATCACTTCTCTCTGGATTTCATTTTTTTCATCTGTCAAATAAAGATGTTGAATTAGCTGATCTCCAGAGTCTCTCCTAGCTATAAATTCTATGATTCTGTAATCAAGGAGTAGTAATACCTTCCCTGACTATCTCATAGGGATGTGCTGAAGGTCAAATGAAATAATGTACATAAAGGTTTTTGGAACCTGATTTGAAATTAGGTTGACCAGGGCTTATTTACAAATTCATTAGAAAAGTGAAATAATATTCCAGAAAGGAGACCACAGTCTTTCTTCACTCTTTACTGTGTAAAAATAAACTCAACAATTCATGTAGTTTCTGCAAGAAAATGAAAAAGAAAGAAAGAAAAGCAAGAATACCAGTAGAAACAGTGCATTTCCAGAACTGCTGATGGGAGGTGGCAGGTCCCATGACTCTGACCCATTTGAAACCCAAACGGCTGCAGATCATATATGAAAAATGTACAGCTTTGGTTAGCAAATAATGAAAAAGTAAGATACACAGATTCTCTTTAACACTATACAATATATACATTGTATCAAGAGCAACCATAGGAGGGTAGGGGGGTTGTTAGTTATTTTGTGGGACTGCTGTTTTTTTTTTTTGCAAGTCAGACAAAATTGGGACTATTTGAGTTGAATTTGTTTTCTCCTCAATGATTTGTTCCCCCTTCAGCAAATTGCAGTTAAAGTTCACTGCTTATTGAAGCAATGTGTTTCCAGTCCTTTATTGAGCAAATGTAAATTGTAAAGTATTTTAACAGATCAGACTATGAGGGCTTCCAGCTAACTTTTTTGGTGATGGTAGATTATAAAAGATTAACTTCTATTTTGTTTTGTTTTTCTTTTGTGTTTGTGAATTTTTGTCTTTTGTTGCTGTTGTTTCAAACAATAGCCCCAATTTCTTTACTTCTTGTTTAAACAGGATGAAATAGACATTCAAATGTCCAGCGCATTCCACTTAAATGGAAACAGCTCTGGGACAAAGGGTTCACCTTAAATTCTTCTTAGTCTTGGTCCCCACTACTCTTGATAAACAGGCAGAACTTCTTTGGAGCTGTTCAAAATGGCTCTAAAACATCTTATCTCCTCTCCCCCCTCCAAAATACTCCTAACCCCTTGGCCTCAGGTCCCAGGGCTGGTGACAAGATGACCTTTGCAGTCCTAGAAAATAAATGGGGAGTCTGCAAAAGGGAGGGAAACATACAAAATCTACTATCTTTCTTCCAAAATACACACATACCAGTCTAAGTTTTGGTAGAGCCTGAAAAATATTTTCAAGGGAGAAATTATACGTTAATTTATATGTTTGTCTTTTTTCTCATAAAAATACTTTTGTTTGGTAATAAACTTTTTTTCTTCTACAATAAGAGAGATAATACTGTGTTATCAAAAGCAAGAAGGCTTAAAATCCAAGTGGGATCTCAGCTCCCAAGAGACCAGAAAGGCTATTTCAACAATTCTCCCAATTCAGATGCCTCTGGGAGCTGTCGGACACTGGCTAGGCAAAAACAAACACTGTCTCAACAGTGCTTTTTTATCTCCTTATTTTATAAAATGGCATTACCTGAGAAAGGCATGTATTATTCAGTGCAAGAGGGAACGTCAATCGGATTAAGGAGTATATGGAAACTGAGTGGATTAGATTGGTGGCTTTGTCATCTGCCTTACCTGGGGCAAGCAGCATGCCAAGTACAAACACAGTGAGGGAGCTGAGGAGCTTGGCACTGACCCCAATTAGGGGATGAAGAAGGGTGCTGAGGACTCAGTCCCGGCCATCCTGTGTATCTCTAGGAGAGCTTGGAGGAAAGGGAGATGGGTGACAGGATGTTTTAGAGCCATTTTGAACAGCTCCAAAGCCCCAGGGTGGGTGAGGGATGGTGGTGGAAGGGAGGAGGAATAGAGGTAAAGGTGTGGAGAGAATGGATTGAGATGCTGGAAAGGCATAAGCATAAGGGATAAGCTCTGTCTGACTATCTAGTTAGAGACAGAGAATGGCTTGTGGTCCTGAATGGACAGCTCCCACCTTGCCTGGTTAAGGGCAGAGGGTGGTCTGGGGTCCAGTAGGTGGGGGCTGGGGCTGGTGGTAGGTGCAGGTGGTACAGCACCGAGTACACTTTGGGCCCTTCACCAACACTATACAGCAGCTCCACAGAGAGAAGTGAGGGAGCAGGGCCTTCTTGGACTAGAAGGACAATTCCAAGCTCTCTCTCCCTGCTTTGGGTATCATTTGAGCTTGGTCTCACCTTCATTTCTGTGTTTGTGTGCATATGTATGTGTTTTGCGGGTGTTTGTGTGTGCGCGTGAGTGTGTGTTGGGGAGAAGATTTTATCTATCCCTTAGCCTGGATTATACAGCCATTTCTGATTGCTACACATAGATCACAAAACATTTGAGAGGGAGCTCAGCAAACAATACAACTCTGCAAGAACCCATGCAGACAAAGGAATGAACACACCAGACCAAGGCAGCAAGGAACACAACATCCAGAAAAACATGCAAACACAGAAGCCATCTTCAAATCCAAGGGTGTCACAAGCCATAAGGCTTTGAGAAAACGCAACCATGGAAGAATGCCAGTCACCATTTGTAACAACATACATCTTGTCATCCAATCCATGCCCTTTAAATAAGAGAAACATATCTCAGAGCCAATGGCTATGTGCTGAACAGACATACATAAGTACATACGTATACACAAGGTGTGTGCATGCGTTCACACACACACCACACACACCCATTTTTAGACGTGAGATGGACCTGTATTTAAGGAGACAGGTGACCCTGTTAGGGAACATAAAACTTAGACACCTGTATCTGCTACAGAAATGTCTGGGGCTACAGATGAGCCAGGTGGTAATAATTGAATTTCTAGAAAGATGTACAAACCCATTTTTCGTTAGACTGTGGCAATAACATTGGGAGGTGCCTCAGGGTGCACAACTTCCAGATGCTGAAAAAGCAGAGCTCGCACTAAACATGGGCATGGTTCTCCCAACTTTTGCACACACACACACACATGCTCACACACACACTCTCTCACACACACACACGCAGTTTCCCCTCTTACTTGGAAGGACAAGGGGAGAATTCTTAGATAACATCAAAAAGTAGGGGGAAAGGCCTTCTGGTTATTTAGATAGAAGCTCAATGAGCCACACAACCAAGAGAAGTTTGGCTTTGCTGGACTTGGGTTTTTACAAAATTAAAGAGGGAATGCAGGGACCAAGCAGCTGAAACTTGTCTCAGAAATCAAAAACTTGTCTTAGAAATCTAACCCAGATCATCTTTTCTTTATGAAGGCTTGTTTAACTCCTGAAGGTTAGGTCTAGAAATATTGGGAGGCAAGAGAAAAAATATCTAAGTAAGAAGCCTTCCTGGGTTGTCTGGTTGGGTTTTGAGCCCCATCAGAAAGGGGCTGGATCTTAGCCACATGTCAGTTTTCTTATAAAATGGAGGGGGGTAGGGAAATCCCATTAAACTAATATACTCAGACCTTCTACTCTCTGCAAGAACACCATAATTTGAGTCTGAGTACCTCGATTTAAATCTTAGCTTTGCTATGCACAGCTGAGTGACCTTGGGCTAATTGCTCCACCTCTGTGAGCCTCGGTTTCCTCATCTATAAAATGAGAGGGTTGGAATAGGTCATCCCTAAGGTCTTTTTTTAGTTTCAAATGCTATGATCCTAAGACACAACCCAAGTGTGAAGGAGGAGGGTGAGGAAGTGGAGATGTGGCCTCCCTGGGACATGAGATGGGGTACTCCTCTTTTGTGGGTTACCAGGGTTGGAACACTGCACCTGGGACCCACCTGGCAGTTAAGTGAAGGAGCAAGCTGCAGCCTCATATGATGCAGTGAAGTGAAGAGAGTAAGGCTTTTCCCACAGGGCTCACATAGTGCTCCCTAAAAGGGGCACAATACTTTCCTAGTCCTGGGAAAGAGCCTGGCACAAAGCCCAAGTGAGCATTATGGCTTCCCTAGCTTTGGTGTATCCTCAGATACAAAGAGCTGAGGAACAGGTCAGGTGCCAGTGGTTGCCAACAGGGTTAGCTAGAATGCTGAGGCCAATAGCATCCTTCCTCCTTCTACACTAGAATCAGATGATCTCCCTCTCCCAGTGGGAGTAGGCAGAGCCATTCAAAGTGCCATGTGAGTATGGAATCATTCAAAGAGAATTCATTTTTAATACAAAATAAAAATTCTCTATGGTGAGGTGCCCTGGCCTTTAACAAACTGCATAAAAGACATTTATTATATCAATATAGAGATATGTCCTTCTTAAAAAGGGTTGCAGATGAAGACAAATGTGTGTGCTCAAGAAGTTGCACCAGCCCAAAGGCACTCAGGCATCTAACAAAGTTGGCGAATACAGGAATGTGACCGGTTGTGAAATTTCCCAAAGCCAGAAAGAAAAATAGAGAAGGAAGGGAAAAAAAGCCTCATTCCAAAAGAAAAGCCCCCTTCCCCTGACCAAAAAAAAAAAACCCAAAAAACTTTTCACCTACTTTTGCATGGTTCAAAAGTTTGGTGCCGTTGCTTTTACTGTGGACAGGGGATGCCTGAGGAACTGAGTCCAAGGCTCCTAGAGAGAAACGTTTTGTTCTTTGGGGACCTACAAGACAAGTGACTCTGCTTCAGGGGAGAGACAAACAAAACAAGGAGGAGTGTTTTAAGGAAGGGGGCAGAAATATCCTTAATTAACTTTTAAGGAAAGAAGAGAGGAAAAGACACTTGGGTCAGAACTGCTTAAGCAGGGAGGAGAGGTGGGAATGGGAGGGAGGGGCAGGCAGGAAGAAGGGAGAGAGGCAGCTCCAAAGCAGTTAGTTGATCTGACGACAAGCTTCAAATGTCCACTTAGTAGCCCCGCCATAGATGTCAATGTTGGTCTCAGCCCAGGCAATGACATTTCCAGACAGAGCTTTGGTGCTGCAGGTGGCCAGGTTGTAGATCTCCCCAGAGGTGAGTTTTCGGTCCCAGATGTTGAAATGAGCCAATTCACCAACAAAAGCTTGTGTGGCATCGAATCCACCACCCAAAGTATCCTTTCAAAGAAATATAGAGAACATAGAGGTGGAGGTAGTGGTTAAGGTGAGGGTCAGGAAAGTGGATGACCCTGGGAAATTTCAGTTCTGGCTTGCTGCCTCATGAGGAACGTTGATCTCCTAATGCTGTTTGTGTGTCCTTCTGTGTGCCTTTCCATTTCTACTTGTTTATCTTTCCCTCTGTTTAATTGTGAAGACTGTCTTTCTGTGTGAATATTTATGCATATTTATACATTGTGTATTTTTTTTTCTGTTTATCCACATTTCCGCATTTGGCAACTGAAAGTATTTTTTGAAATACTATAAATTCTATATAAACATGAAATATTGTGTGTGTGAGAGATAGAGCCAGAGAGAGACAGGAGAGACAGAGCCAGATAGAGAGAGTGAGATAGAGAGAGAAAGAGAGAGAGACACACACACACACACCGAGAGAGAGAGAGAGAGAGAGAGAGAGAGAGAGAGAGAGAGAGAGAGAGAGAGAGCACGAGCAGCTTTGTCAACTTTGTTGTCTTCTGTTTGGAGTCTATCTGTGAGTTTAACTCTGGCTGGCTATATGTCTCTGCTTCTATCTTTGTCTCTATTCTCTGTCTGGATTTCCCTCGATTTATTCTATAGGGATCATGTGGAATAGAAATGTCCCTAGTCTTTTCCCTGACCCTATTTTCCTATTGGGGGGAATGTCATGGAATCTAGCTTTTCTAGAGCTGGAGCCTGGAGCCTGGAATCTGGGGTATGGGTAGATCTAACAGGAACAAGGGCCATTCAAGGTTTTGTCTTTACTTTTCATTTCCTGCATCCCTTTCTTTCTGTCTCCTCCATTCTAATTCCTCAGTCCAGGAATGAATGTTTGGAATGTTTGGAATGCACAGAAAAGATCCTATAGACTTGGGAACTCCCCACTAGATGCTACCAGAAAGTAAATTACTTACTAATAAACATTTAATTTATAAGATAATAGCTAGATCAATTTTCAGTGTCAAAACCAATAAAAATGAAGAACTGAGGTAGTATTTTCATAATTACAGTATCTAATGAGAAAATATGAACTTTTTTTTTACCCAGCAGTTCATGGTAAAGTGTTCTGCTTTATGCCTTGGCTTAGTTCATTCCTACTTGTGATCTCTGCATCTTTGCATCTTTGTATCTTTACACTAAGAAATTTTCACTCGTGTGAAAATGAACGAATAAAATGTGATTTTATGAAACATTATTCTATGTGGAATTAAATTGATACTATGAATTAGAAGTTCATTTGTTTATTTTTAAATCAAGGTAGTAATGATAATAATTTTTGTTGGTTCATATCTGTGATTTCATTTAGTATGGGGAACTTTCAGTATGGAAACTCCTTCCACTTATGGAGATCAGTGACTCATCTATATATCTTTAGCTTAAAGTCTTAGACAACTGAGAGGTTTCAAGAGTTCCCCATAGTTACACAACCAGTATCTAGCAAAGACAGGATTTGAACCTAGGTCTTCCTGATGCAATAATGATAATAATAATAATAATGACAATAACAATGATTCCCAGGAGCACTGAGGTCGCAGTTCACTTGTGCTTGAGTTCTCTACAAATGTCATCAAAATCAGTTTTGCCTAGTCAAGTTATTTAACCTCTTGGATTTTAAGTTTCCTCATCTCTAAAATAGAGATAATATTTGCACTACTTTCCTCATAGGATTGTCATGATATAGGTGCTTTGTAAACCTTAAGGTTATATAGAAATGTGAATTATTGGGAATATTATTATCCCCATTAACTCTCTTTCCCCCTTTAGCTGTGATGTGTGGCCCTCAGTTCCCAGAAGAAGATGGTTCCATTTTCACCACTGCTTTGTCATTCTTTCCTTCTAGCCCAGAGCTCTATCTTTTGATCGTACTTCTTCCATGGACATCCTGGGTCCCTCCCTAGGTACTGCCCTCCCAACTAGCCCAATCCCCATTTGACCAGTACCTGCTCTTGGCCCAGCACAAGCACACCCTGTGGTTTGATTGGGTGATAGGGTGCTAGGTTCTCTCCATTGCCTCCTTGAGTGCCATCCTGGTAGGCCTCCCAGACACCATCCCGTGTGGTCCAGGTGATACAGATGTGATGCCACTTACCATCATTGATAACAAAGGGTAGCTTGGCCACCTGAGGCAGGGAAGGGAAATGGTGCTTTTTAAATTCCTTTTTCACAGCTCAAATCCATTTGGTCTTAGATTATTATAACAGTATGTACATCTTTGACATTACTATTTGAATCATCAATTTAGCAAACATTGATTAACCATCTCTCTTTAACCATCACTGTGCTTTCATTTATCTTCATTATTCATATTATGATTATTTCTAGTTCTATTATAAGAAACAGTGTGGTGCAGTAGAAGGAGTGATCAATGTAGAATAAAGAAGATTTGGGTCCACATTCTGCCCTTAATGCTTACTAGTCAGTGGTGGGTACAGGGGCAAGTCACCTAAGCTCTCTCAGCCTCAATTATCGTATTTATAAGATAGGGATAGTAATGCTTATAATTTATAGGGTTGTTATGAGACTATATGTGTAAAGCGCTTTGTAAAATTTAAAACACCATAGAAACATCAGTTATTATTAAATCAATTACAAAAATATTTAGTAAGTGGCCAAATGCCATATTTTCCCCAAACGCATTATCTAGGCCTGGAAATATTAACCCAGAATTAAGATACACAGATATCAGTCACACCATCCTAGGATGCAGTATATACGAAATGTCTATTGCCAAATAATAAACCCCTTAAATTGGCCAACAAGGCAAATGTGTGAATGTGAAGGGGGTAGGGGAGGTAAGGATAGGAGATGGACCTGACAGGCCTCCTGATATGTCTCCTTTCTTCATCTTTTGCTCATCACCTTAATCCATACTATCAACATATCCCCAACAGGAGAGCCTAGCAAGAGCCCTGGTCCATCTATTTTCAAAAACACATCATTCTAGACAGAATATAGACTGCAGTAACTTGGAAAAACAAAGACTTGGCTAGACATGGAGCTGAGGCTGGAATTCACCAATGTCTTCCCTATCCATTCCATTTTCCTCCTCCTGGATTGCCTTTCCCTGCGATGTCCCAGGTTTCAAGCTCTCTGAGTCCTAAGCTTCTGCAGAAGAGGTGCTGAAGAAACTGAACAGGCACATCAACATAGATAGCACTGCAGTCTAAACGCGCAGACCCTTTTGCCATCTGTGATCTCATTAATCCTCCAACTTTCCTCTGGAGTGAGAAGAGGGGGGAAGGATATCATATATATGCGTGTATGTGTGTGTGTGTGTGTGTGTGTATATGTGTATATATATATGTATATGTATATATATATTTTTATATACGCTTATATGTATATATATATAAAATGTTTTTATACTTATTATCAAGGGTATTCTTCTTCTTCATATTTAGGGCTAAATGATGGTCCAGAGGTGCCAAGCAATTGGTTTAAGGTCATACAATCAGGAAAAGAATAGGAATAAATTCTTAGGTGTCCTGAGATTTCCAGCCTAGGCTCTAACCATTTAATATCAATTGGGAAAGGTGGATATTTAATGGTTGATAAACTAACGTCAGGGCTTATTGATGACTGTCATAGAAGATATTTCAGTGAAGAATAACAACTCTCATTTATAAACTACTTTAAGCTGTGAGGTGTAAAAGAGTGATGGTACATACATTATTATTCTCCTTTTACAAAGAGGTTAAGTGGCTTTCCCATAATCAGACAGCTACTAAGTGTCAGCACCAGGGCTTATGCCTGATCTTCTGACTCCAAGTCTATCAGAATAACCACCACACTGACAATGAGAGGTCAGTCTCCCTGGCCTAGACCCATCCCAGGAAATAGGAATGGGAGAGGAGGAAAAACAGAGGTTAGGGTGCTGTCCGAGAGTTTCCCAGGGATCCAATATACTTCTTGGATGTCTCTAGACCACAGGATTCAAGGGGTCAGATCAGTTCAGGGGTCAGTCTTAGGTTTTGGGATTGCTTTGGGAAAGCATGAGGAATCCATTTGTCTGGATCTCTTTCTCCTTCCTAGCACAACTCTGGAACTGGCCCAGGATATTTAGTATTGGTAATGTCCAATGTCTAGCCTGGAATTATTGGAGTTTGGACTCTAGCCCAGGATTGGCCCAGAACCATATTGACCTCAAGGTGACGAGGGGATTTTAAACAAATCCATCTCTCTTTGGTCTCTTCCACACCCTTCCATTAAGCTCTAGAAAGGCCACTAGCTTCTTTTCCTTCAACCATTTTCAGTATATGTTATGCACTTTATACAACACACACCGTATTCTTGGGAAGTTTCCATTTGGTGGTTTCTGTTCCATTTTGTTCTAAGAAGTCTAAGTTAAAAGGGGAGGGGATTTCACTCAAAGAGAAAGAGTGGACTCCCTTCTTCATGCTCCTCTGAAACCCAGTCACCCCAGTAACAGTGCAAGGTATGGATTCCATTCAGTTTCTAGAACTGTCAGCTGAATGATCTGCCTGGCATACTGACATTTCCTTCTTTCTTCATTATTAGTTAGCTGTGGGACCTGGAGTCATTCCACTTCCTAGGCCTATCTGTAAAAGAAGAGGGTCTCAACTCAAGCATTCTATGACTGCTTTTGTATAAGTTCAGTGTCTGGAAGTGGTGGGGGTTTGGGGACTCTTACCTTGTCATTTATGAGGATCTCCATTGGGTTATTCCCCCATTCAATTAGGACCAGCTCATTGGCCTGGCCTGGCACAGCATAGGAGAATGGAGTCCCCACTCCAGGGGAGGCATTTGATTTTAGCCACATGCAGATAGTGAAGGCATACATTTCTGGAAGACTTTTTTTCACCTTGGCATACATATAGTTGGTTCGCAGCGGGAATGTGAGCTGGAACTTGTCCCCAGGCCTGTTGTCTTTCTGACCTGGGAGAAAAATAGAGGGGAGCTGAGCATGTACTAGCTATGTATGTATGTGTGTATTCTGCAGACAGGCAAGTGGAACAACCTGTATACCTAGAATTCATTTACAGACATAAATGAGAATAGGATATGCAAAATACTTGTAAACGCCTGTTTTGAGCAAAAGTGGGTGGAAAGTGTGACTACTAAGGAATAAGAATGATTTATTGTTAAATAAACCAGAGCTTCTATATCCAAAAGAAGATTGGCCCCTTCCAGAGCACTTGGTCAGAAGGCTAGACACCTAGTTCCAGGGATACTGGTGCAGATCAAAAAGCTTCTTTGGAAATTGCCTTCAGAGCTAGTTTAGAAGCAAATCAGTCTCACTACTTTATAGCCACACTTCATTTTTGTTATCAATCAGAAAGCATATTTCCCATCTTTATCAATCCCTTATTCATCAATTATGGCTGTGGGGACCTCTTGACTATTTGCAAAAAAAAAAATCTAATTCACCTTCAAAGGGGCACATTTTCTAGCATCAAGGATATTCCCAAGATGTGTGCCAGGCTATGAGGACAATACCAAAGAGGAGTATCCAAAATGTTTTGAGCAGTATTGTATATAACCGTCTTGGTAACTACTTGGAAGGGACAACACTAATTTAGATGTATAAGTGGATTTGTTTAAAAATGAGTCACACTATTTTATAGTCAGACCTTGAATAAATAGAATATGAACCCCAGATATATGAACCTAGGGATCCTTACATAAAAGCATCTCTATGTTTTAATAGTTCCTGCATATGCCTATGTTCCATAGTTCGTGGTTCCATGTATCAATATGTCCTGGCGTGTACATGTAGTGACTAATTGCAACCATTTCTAGTCTGTGTATAAACAGATGAGCCTTGACGTATATACACATAGGAGCAGAGTTCAAACTGCAGACTATATGCTGCATACAATCAGGACCTCAGATCTTTGTGCACTTGCACAGTGGAAAAGAGACAGGAGGCTGGACTGAGTCTGGACTAAGGAAACTGGGAAATGCCTGATGACTTCCCTGAGGGAGGCATAGCAGGCAGGGCATGCTCTGAGGACATCCCACCTCCGCATCCCTCCTTCTACCTCCCAGCAAGCCTGAAGGACGTGAGCAAGGCCACTCTACTCAATTAAGTGGCTTTCCTAACCCTTCCTTACCTCCTACTTTCATCTGTCTCTTTGCCCTCTGTACTTCCTCCATTCAAACATACTTCCCTCTCGATTTGCAAATCCCCACTTGGTTTGATTGACTCCAGGTCTCTTGCTTTTCTTGTTTTGTTGTTCCTTTTTTTTTCCTGAACATGTTCTCTGCATCTTCCCTTCCACCCCCATCCTGCTTTCTTTCTTTCTAATGATCTATTTCATCCCCCCCCCACTCCAGTTACATAACAGGCCTTAAGATGGCAGTGTTTAAATCCCTCCAGCACATTTTGCAGTCTAATCCCTATCACGTGTCACGAGCTCTGGGAATCAGCTCTCTCCCTTTTACAACCTTATTTGATTTCTGACATCAAGCAAAGAGTTGCTCCTGCTAATCAATATGCCCAAGGCATGGTATGTGGAGTTTGAATGGGAGTAATAATCATCCAGCTTGTTGAAGTTTGAGAAACAAAATCTTCTGGGGAGCAAAATATGCCCTGGATTATGTTACATAGAGTGAAAAACTGCAGATTGTGTCTGTAAGAACATTAAGGCATTGTGAATGGATGGGAAGTGCCAATAGAATCCCATGAGGACAGTAGGAAAACTCAGATAGAATGCTATTATATAGCCCAGGTGGAATCTTAGTGAGAGGATAGGACTAGGTTAGAATGTTGGTTGAGCCCAGCCATAATAATCCTGGTGAAATGTGCCAAGAACAGAACATACTGGGTGGGGTTTCCCAGGTCAAATTGGGATAAATTAACCAATAAAGGTTCTGATAAATTTTAAGAATCCAGGATAAAAAAATCAGTTGACTGGAGAAGGTTTACTGTCTCTCACCGGAGCTGTCAACAGCAATTAGTGCTAAGATCTGGATAATTTTAGGGTCTGATATTATGGAGGAGAGATTAAGAGCTTAAATGATTGATAGAAAGTGACAGTGAGGGTGGTGGGGTTGAGGAGACGGTGGTTGCAGCAGGTAGCTAGGTGAAAGGGCATTTCTGCAGCATTAGTTTGCACTGAGATCATCAGTTCAAAAGCGAGTCTATAACCCACACCTACTGTCCCAAGTAGTGTTTACCTTTCTCTAGGTCACTGATCCTTTGATGGAGGGACGTTAGAGTGCTCTCTATCTTGACCCTCTCCTCAGTCTCATTCTTGGGATTCAACTTCCCTTCCTCCAGACTATTCACTCGAGACAAAACTTGCTTCTCTAGGTCATCGATCTTGTTCTGCAACATGTCCTTAAGGCTGTTGGTCTGGCTTGAAGAATTGAGTCTACTGTACTGCTGCAGAGACATAGAGGTGGGGGGGGACAAACAACAACAACAACAACAACAACAACAACAACATGATTAGCTGTACAGTAAAGAATGCTTGAGGAGAAAGCAGAGCTAAAAGAAGCGAGATGGAGCTGTCCAGCGTCTAGGTTGGACGGGAAGCTAATTGCCGAGACAGTCTTCCAGAGAATCAATCAGATCCTCTGCACTTTGGAGCCCATAAAGAAACTTCATGCAAATCTGGTGGAATCACCCGGACAACACCTAATAAAGGACAGCACAGGTGTGTGCGCGTGCGTGCGTGTGTGTGTGTGTGTGTGTGTGTGTGTGTGTGTGTGTGTGTGTAGGAGAGATCTGTCTGTAAAGGGGTTCAGGGAGAACGGAGAAAATTGTAGAGTCAGCCAGAGCACAGACAGCTCCACGTTAAGAGAAGAAGGAGCACCTACCTCAAGGTTCTCTAGCCTGGTTTTGAGAGACTGCAAAGTTTGCCCGAGTTGACTGAGAGTCTCCGCAGCAGGGGTTCTGGACAGGTCCCCCATGGTATTTTTCCCGGAGCCTGACTGTTTTCTGCCCGCTCCAGGCTTGGCTTCATTAGGTCCACTCTCCAACAAACTCTGGCTTTCACACCTGCCCAGTTTGGTGGTCAGTTCCCGGATAGTCTCCTTCTGGTTCATAATGGTCTCCTTCTGTTGCAGCACTGTCTCACGGAGCTGCAACACATTGGTCTTGAGGTCCTCAGCGTTGCCGCTGCTCTGAACCGAGGTACACATGTCCATATCTACCGGCACCGAAGTGCAGATGAAACGGGTCTGTCCGAAATTCTGGGCCAGGCATTCCAGGCACACGGCGAAGAGGACCACGAAGCACCACGGGATACCGCCAGGCATGGTTGGAAGGGTCCCAATGTTTCCGGGACCGGACAAGTCCTCTCTACTCCCCGACTCTCCCGCAGTAGTCTGAGTGCTGCGGTACCTGGGAGTTCAGAGCCGCGGATCTATCAGTCCACCCCCTAACTGCCGAGCAGACTGCGGAACCTCACAGCCTTTTATGCTGCTGCGGGAGGGGCCTTCACGGTGCGGACGTCATCAAGGCAGGAATCCCATTTTAATTGTCTAGTGACCAGTTCCACACCAGAGGAAGGGGATCTGGCAAGAACGGGGGTGAAGAAAGGGGATGTTCCTAATCCTGCATCATCCCATCCCCAAGAGACTCTCTGGGTCTTTCCCCTCTTTCCCAAACGTCCTTACAACCCCCTTCGATTTCCTCTCCCTCACCTCCTCCTCCTCTCTCCTAGCTCCTCCCTTCCGCCCCAGTTATTTCCCCATCTGTTGAACCTGGCCCTTCAGTCTCTCCTCCCACTCCCCTCACCCACCCAGCTATGAAGAGCTTGGGACAGGGGAGCAAGGCAAGTGGACTTCACGTCTACACGACACTTTACAGCTTACGAAGAGCTTTCGTAGACAGTATCGCATTTGATTTTTGCCACTAACCCTGTGAGGAAGATATATCTCCTATATACAGGTTTGGTAAAGGTTAGCGCAGGTTCGACGATACCTATTACACAGCTGAAAAAATTGAGACTCAGGGTAAGAAATGGCTGAGGGTAAACCCATATGCTTCAAACCCAAATCCCCTTTCCTTATGATTTAAACCATTAGGGCTTAAAGCTAGTGTGCTCTTTCAGAATTTCCAACGGGGCTTCAGAAGTGAAGAGGTACCAGGAAATGATTTAGGTTCTGGCTAAGTGAGACTCGGGGTGAAGGTGGGAGTATGAGATGGAAATGGCTTTACTTTTGCTAGATGTTTGATTGTTGATTTTAAGCAAAACAAAACACACAAAATTCCCTGATTCCCATTCCCTCGTTTCTGAGACTCTTTCTGAATTCCTGTCTCCTATCTCTCCCTCCTCTATTCAGCCCCTAGATTAGGGGATGCAGAGAACACACACACACACACACACACACACACACACACACACACACACACACACACTGCCAGTTTCATTCCATCATTCCAGGACAGTCATAGTGGATGAGGGTTGTGTGTGGGGATGTTGAAATAAATCTTGGGCTCCAAGGTTTGAGACTTGCTTTACCCCCTTCTCCTTCACCTCGACACCCCCCCCCCAGCACCACAGCTTCCTTGAAACGCTGACTCGGTTGCCAGGGGGAACCTCAACCCTAGGGAACCGCTAGCCCTGCCAGCAGCGGGATTGGGGCGTGGGGGGAGTGGTGGAGTGGGAGGAATGGTCCGGGATGAGCTCTGTGCAACTTATCGGAGCCGGAATTCAAACAGTTTGTCTTTCCAGCAAACAGAGCAGATCTTTGGGGCTCGAGTTCCCGATAGCTGAAATCAGCGCGGGTTTTCAGCAGCGTTGTAGAAGTCCCTGAGCGCTAGGGATGAACGTGGAGATTAGAAACGGCTCATTTCCTCTTCCTGGTTTAATAGTCTTGCGGTTTAATGAAGTCATTTCCAATTCACAAAGCTATTTCCCACTGAGGGGTGAGAAGGGAGGGAAATAGGGTGGGGTTGCTGTAGGATATATGTGTGTGTGCGCGTGCGTGCGTGTGTGTGGTGTGTGTGTGTGTGTGTGTGTGTGTGTGTGTGTGTGTAGGTGGAGGGGAGGCTGGGGAAGTGTGTCAGGGACTATGAGTAACTCAGCGAGTGAGGTGCGGACAGGCTGTTTGCGTGTCTGTGTTGCTTATACCTGAATGAGCCATCAAGCTTCCAAGCACATCACCAAGTCTAGGGATGGGACATATTAAAAGGATCTCATAGACTTAGCACTGGAAGATATCTCATAGCTGTTCCCTCACGTTAGGGATAAGACAACTGAGGGAAGCAGAGGCTGAGTTGCCCAAGATCACAAAGGTATGAAGTGACAGAGACAGCATTTGAAACCTAGGTCCTCTAAGAATTCTTCATTCTTTCCATTTCAGCACCTTGCCTCTTTGAAGCTGCTGGATTTAGAGGTGTGTGTTTGGGTGGATAAATGGGGGAGGATGATGGGATAGATAAGGGAGAAGAATGAAATGGGTCCCCATCCCAGACGAGGGCTGCAGAAGTAAAAATAGAAGGGTAGCAGGACCCAAGCAATAAATTGGGTACCATACTGCCACCATTCACACACAACAGGTACACACAAGTACAATGGCTAGTGACCCTCAGCTTTTAGTAGAAATGGCCCAGTGCTCTCTTTCTTGGCTAAAATCCCCACGAGGTGTTGTTGCTTACTATAAGGGCTCCTAACTTCCTTCAAAAAGTCTAAGGAACTTATTGGCTCTAATTGTTATAGGCTATTTTAGATTCCAAGGTCTTCAAAGAGAGCTGCACCTGCTGGTCAGAGAGTAGGCTGTTAAGGTTAAGGTTAAAGTCACAGGTTAAGCTTAGTTTTCCTTGTATTTTTTATATAGTTTCTTGGAGTTGGGGGAAATGGGTAAATTATCCATTAAATCAGCATAAGATCTAAAACTGCAGTTTCACACATGACCCACACACACAAATGGGAGCCCTCAAACCCACATATCTGTACACACATTGAAAGTATCAATCATGCCAGATCTGGAGACTTTGGAGTCTCCATTTTACACTAACCTCCTCATTTTACAGATAACTATAATAATAGCACTGTTCATAGTCTTTTAAGGTTTACAAAGTGTTTTTGTCACAACAATCTGTGAAGTAAGTCAATGTGAGCTCAGGTAGGCAGGGCCGAATCAAGGCCTACATCTCAACAAAGCCAAAGCTACAGACTTCCAAGTAGATGATCAAAAGGAGAAGGAGCTCAGGCTAGTGCAGGCTTCTTCACACATTGGGGAAATGAGCCAAAGCCAGCCTCTGGGAATCAGGGAGAAAGGTCCAAGCCACAGCCCCATGAGTAGAAGACTGTACAAGGAGACAAAAAGAATGGACGCCAGAGGTCAGCCCACTGGGGGAGGGGCAGGAGGCAGAAACTAGGTTTGGACCCAGGTCCCCATCCCAGGCAAGGGCTACAGAAGTAAGACTAGAAGGGTAGCAGGACCCAGCCTTCCCATGAAAAACTATGGCAGGACAGCAACATTGGCATTGGGACTGTTGCAAGGACAAAACCCGAGCCTAAGCACCCCATCCAAGACTATGAAAAGGAAGAGATCCTAGTGGTATCAGATTTCAAACTGTACTACAAAGCAGTAGTCATTAAAATGATTAGTACTGTTTAAAAATACATAAAAGTCAATCATTGGAACAAATTAGATACAAAACCCCAGAAGAAATGAAACTCTGTTGCACTGTATTCAATACATCTAAGAACACCAAATATCATAGAGTCCCTATTAAACAAAAACTCCGGTGAATATTAGAAAGTAATTTGGCAGAAATGGGACTTAGATCAACAATCACATCATATACAAGTTCTAAATGAATAGGATACATGACTTGGATTATAATGTGCAAATTAGAAGAGAAAGAACTATCACAATGAGGGGTAAGGGAAAGATTTCTTGACCAAAGAATAGAGACGATCCTAGGAAGTAAAAAGAATAAACTCCTATATACAGGTTGGGTACACAAGATCCAGAAGCAATCAAACAGTAAGGAAATACCTTTCACAACTATGAGTAGGGGGAGAATTCTTAATTAAACAAGGGATAGAGGTGATGTTAGAATATAAAATGGACAATTAGATTACATGAAACTGAAAAATCTTGTTTTTGAATTAATTTTATTATATTCTCAATTAAAAAGTATTTATTTCTTCTTTCTTCTCCAAGTTGAAAGAAAAAAGGAAAAGAAAAAGAAAACCTTCATAACAAATATGCGTAGTCAGGCAAAGCAGATTCTCTCATTGACCATTTCCAAAAATGGATGTTTCATTATGCATTTTGAGTCCATCATTTCTCTGTTTGGACATGGGCAGTATGCATCATTCTTGGTCCAATGAAATTGTGGTTTGTCATTTCATTGATCAATTCTAAAGTCTTTTAAAGCTATTTGGAAAGATTTTGCACGAACAAAATCAATGCACGAGAACTAGAAGGAGAGCAGCTGACTGGGAAAATGTGTCTGCAGCAACTTTTTCATATCTAAAATATTTAAGGAATTGATACAAATATACAAAACAATAGCCAAAGAGTCAAGACAACAATAGAAATAATGACTACAACAATGCAAATGGAAAGAACAGCCACAAAACAATCAAAAGTAAATATTTCAAAATTACAAAGAATACATATTATTGCAAGAAGAGATACAGGAAGATATTCTCACAATGCTTCTTTGCAGAGAAAAGAGGTCCATGAGCATAGAATTTTCAGACTTTTTCAATATATCAATCAATTTTACTGAGGTTTTGCCTCTTTTTCCTCTTTTTATTTTTTTTCTTCAAAAATGTTATTTATTATATGAATTCAGTATGTTGGGAAGGGGTGCCTGGGAGAAATGCTTTTGATATAAAAGACAAACTATACTAATAAAATTTATTTTTAAAAGAAGAACAAGAGCCATTCTTCAATGGATAAGTGGTTGAAGGATATGAATAGGTAGTTCAACAACCACATAAAAGTGCTGCCAATCATCAATAATAACAGAATTACAGACTAGAACATTTTTCTGAAGAATAAAAAATTTTATTACTTGAATAGAAGGTTAAGGATCGTTTGGCTGTAGGCAAAGCAGGCAAGTAAAGAAAAATAGTTCACAAAACCACAGCTGAGTGTTGAGTCTCCTTTTATGTAACTAGGCCTGACAATGGAGTTTTGTTCATCCTACAATTTCAGTTCCTCTAACAGGAGAGAGAGGGAGACCTCAGATTTTCCCAGAAAAAATGTCATAGGGAAGAGGGGTGAAAGTCTCCACATTACACCCATCTAATTGATAAAGATGACAAAAGAGAAAAATGACAACTACCGGACAGACTGTAGGAGGATGGGCCCATTAGATAGGCCACTGTTGTTGGAGCTATGAATTTGTTCAATCATTGTGAAAAACAATTTGGAACTATTCTCCAAAAGTCACTAAAGTGTGCAAACCTTTTGCCTGCCCCAACTATACCATTCCTAGGTGTACAATGCAAAGGGTCAAATAGGGAAGCAATATGTACACATTTCTTAATAGCAGCACTTTTCATTGTAGCAAAAAAACTGTAAATAAAGTGGATGCCCATCAACTGAGGAAAGGTTGAACAAACTGTAGTATATTAACATAAAGGACTACTATTTTGCCGTAGGGATGGATTCAAAGAAACCCAGGAAGTTATATGAACTGATGCAAAGTGAAGTGAGCAGAAT